GGCGACAAGTAAAGTTATGTTCAATAGACGCACGTAAAACTCGTCGGAGCATATCCCACCCTTGCTTTAAGGCTGGGGCACCAAGGTCAATGGGGACGGAACCTGAGCGATCATGGATGCCGCGGAGGGCCAATAATGGGGCTTCCGTCAAGAAGTATAGGGTCTCAGAGGAAGCGAGAAGAGCCAAGACCAACGTTATTGGCTCTTCAACGATCGGGAGTGCCCCGGCAGGTTGACACATAGAGCCCCGGTCAGAGCGCAAGGCCCTGTGAGCAAAGGGGTATCATCCATGACCACTGTGCGTGAACTTATGTCTGTGCGGTCAAGATTGTCCGGGCAGGTTAAAATAAATGGCCCCGATGGGAGTGAGGGGTACTTCGCAAACGAGATCAAATGAAAAGAGACCTGGATCAATGTTAAGTGCCCCTGATAGTCAAGTGGCTTGGTGCCCTACTTCTTATGGGCTCAGAAACAGCACACGACCCTCCGAGCCAGTGGAAAGTACCCGAGATCAATATCAATGGCCGCCGACTAGCTGAGTGTACGTCGGCACATGGGGCCACGGCAAAAGGGTGTCGAATCTTTTGACCGAATGGGAGGAGTCCGATGGCACTATTAACCGGCCATTTAAATATTGCATCGGCCGATATCACCATTTTTGCTCAGCTCACCCTCCGACAGTGTAGGGGTGGAGGGAGTTCTACGGTGAGCGACGTGTGCTGCTGCCGGCGTCGCTAAATGTTGTGCGCCGCCGGCTGCCGCTGCCACGCCTCCCCGCAAGAGCGAATTTATGATGAGGACCCCGTTGGTCAGCATACGAGCCAGATGATATTAGTGCACGACTCGGCACGTTGTGACTTCGGTACACCCGACATCAACACACTTATGTGGACTACGGAGCTAAGATGAAGCGGGCGACCGGGGCATTGGCGAGATGGTGGGCCCGATCAGGCACCGTGAACGGCTGTCTCCCCGCCCATGGGTGTGCGCCCTTAAACACGGCAACGCAATGGCGAATTATATTGGCGAGGGCCTGCTGGATCATAACCATGGGAGCCCCCCACCCCCCTCCCGGCGTTAACTAATCCACGGAGACTCCACGCAATCGGCGCCCCATCACACTTCCTCCAAGCACACACATAAGCTGTCACCCACGTCAACCCACTCTCCTTGGCTTCCACACGGATGGGACCCCCCACCCGCCCTTCTTCCAGCGCCTTGGCATTGCAATTGGCTCGTCTGCGTGGGTCCTCGATAAGTTAGGTTTTTTATCGCATTTCAAACCTTCGAGAAAACCACGTTTAAGCCCTGTTTAACGTGTATCCGAAAATGGACGGTGACTCGTTCCCTCACCTGACCTCCAGGGTGACGGCTCCCTGTTTGGACGACACTCCCCGTGCTCCATTCACGATGGGCGGCCCACCATTCGCTCGGTCACGCCCAGCGCTCGCAGCTTTCCGCTGCCGCGCACGCGCCTTAGGTATCGCCTCGTCCAGCACGGAAACGTCGCCTCCGGCGCTTCCGCGCCCTGACCTCCCGCCTGCCGGAGCGACCTTTGCGAGGCACCGCCCCACGGCGCGGCCCTCAGAGGCCTGGAGGTAGACAGCGCCCCCGATGGGACGGTGGAGCCCCTTGGCAGACGACGAGTGCCCGGAGTAACCCGCGTTCACGCCTTACGGCCTCATCAGCTGGCGTGCTCTGGAGGCTCGGCCTGACCGGCCTGTCCGGCGACCTGGTTCCTCGCCGCACTTCCTACGGGCGTCGATGGCGGGGTCTCTATCCGTCCCGAACATCCCGTCATCAAACGCCCATAAGGCCTGGCGTACACCACGTCGGAACAGAGCAGGCCGTGTCCTGTTCCGTCCCAAGGCGGGAACACCACGGATAGACCCCGCCACCGCCGTCCATAATCCGGCATGCCGGGCGGTGCCCACTGGTCCTAGATCATACCATGACCTATGCCTCTTTTATGCCGTCGGGCCTGGATTCTAATGGGAAACAGTAACACGAGTCAGCTGTCTTCGAAAAAAAGGAGCGACATCTTGCTTTGAGCCGCGCTACCCACAAACATATATCTGCGTAAAAGCAGGGCTGCAGTCGTCTGGCCCCTCGACCCTGCCGTAGCCACGCCGTGGTGCTCACTTGCCGGCGGGCCGCTAGCACTGGACTGCCCGGTCCATCCACACCAAGGCACCGCCATCTACAGCTTCGGAGCCGGCTAACGAGCGAGCCGTCGCACCCAAGCGTGCGTCCACGGCTCCGGACACAGCGCCGTCCAACACCGGGCACGAGGGCCCTCCCACCGCCTGGACCAATCCCTTTCGAGCCTCTCCCCCACGCTAAACCATCGAAACGCAAGCCGTCGCCTGTATGTACAACAAAAATTACACCCACCCCCACCCCCTTTTCGCCCACTCTTCGGGAGGGGACTAATCGCCGTGGCCTGCGCGCGCCCGGTGGGAATGGAAAAAAGGGCACGCCGGAGCGCCAGCCATCCATGGTCCCGTGGGAGGGTGGACAACAGCCCAGGCACTCAGGTCGTGCGTGCTGTCGCCGGTGACCGTCGCCCGCCGTGCCTGATATCGCAGTCGGGTGCCGCGAGCTGGAGCTTGGAGAGTCGACCTCGAGGTGTGGCTGCAGGCGTTGGGCGCACTCCCTGGCACTGACGGTCTCCGGAGCCCCTTCCACGATGTTTTATCGATTTTCGACGTCTCTTTACCGGGTCGGCCCGCCCTCGTCTTCTCGCGTGGCTGGGCCAGATCTCGGGCGTGGTGTCGCTGACGATGGCGCAAGGCCCACCCGCTCTTGGCTCGGGCGGGCCCTGTGCGTCCCCATCTGCCCAGTTCACACTTGGCGTGGCTCTTCTGATGGCATCTGGGGCGACGGCGGGCCGGCGCGGCAGGGCTTGCTGGGGCGAAGCAGCAAACATCCTAACAACATGTTATCTGCACATTCCTGTGCACATGTTGCGTCGCCGGTCGCCTGCTCTCGCCCACATTTTTGTTGGCGTGATGGACAATTTTGACAGATGGGGCCGCCGTCCTGGTTGTTCCGCGGGAAGCACGTGGCGTTGTTTTGACGATGTGAGCTGATCGGCTGAAGCGTCGAGCCGAGCCGCATTCTTCTCCCGGCCTGATGGACATGTTTGTTCGTGGGGGGAGCTCTGGACCATGGCCGGCTGGTCCGCTGTTTCACGCTCCGTGCGCGCGGTACCACCGGTCTCGGACGGGTTCCGCGCGGGATGACGAAGTATGAAAATGTACGTAATGTATGTTTTCTCACAATTTCCGCACAGATCATCAGCCACAACACCGGACTTACCGTGACTTCCATTCGAAACAAAGTATCAACGTGGGCTCATGGTAATGCCGGTCAAGAGGTTTTTCTTGTAAAACCCAATTGTTTGTTCAAGATTTAAATTTGTCGTACCATATGTGAGAAACAGAGAAATATATGTATCTAAAATTACTGTAATGTTTCCCTAATTTCACAATGCCTTGCTAATCCATAAACCCGTGCAACGGTCTGTGCTCCGGTACACAAGGCGCCAGCCGAGCTGTCTGCAAGAGATACGGTAGTAGAAGAAGAAAACACGCCAGCAGGAGAAAAAAGACAGATTTGCCGTCGCGTCTTCTTTTTCATAACTTCGGGAGAGTGCCCATTTGATGGGTGCCGTACTTTTTTTGCAGACAGTGGCATTCTTTTCTATAACATTGACCTGTGGCCTAGAAATATGGAAAAATGATCCGTTCACGAGTATCGCACGACCCGAAGTTGTTCACGCTTGTGTTCGCGACACGCATTCAGCAGTAAAATCTCACTAACAGCCTATCATCTTCCGCGGAATGTACCACATGTGCAGCACTATCGCCTTTGCGAATGTATCAGCGGCCATGCTGTTTTGACCATAAACGAAAAGCAGCCTGTAATATCACGAGGATCTAATGACGCTTCTATGGCGTCCCCAATCAGAAGGCGATTTTGAAAACGGCTCTAAATAAAACCTTTCGTAATCTGCGGGCATGTAACTCAGGATCCAGAGCGTTTTGGGTCTTAAAAAGTGAATATCCGTGAACTGCATCAAAATGTCTTCATGACGGCTATTTCAGTTCAAAACGCCAAACGAATGTGGAACATTCCCTTTAAATAGCCCTGTCGATTTAGGAAAACTTGTTTGTGGAGACTTGAGCTGAACTTTCAAAGGTAAACGTAGGACGCTGGAGCGACACATGCCGAGGATTTATTTAGAACTTACTGCTGCTGAGAGGAGCAACGGCTTTGAGGCAAAAGAGGCCGAGCATCGCTGGTGCAGGCCTCTTACACTGCCCGTTACACCTCAAGCTTGGCATACTGATCGGTGGACAGGCGTGAGATAAAACGTTTTTGATCGCCATCATATTGCACATACAGCTAAATGAAGGTGATGGCGGTGTAAAGGACAAAATCCTCTAGTTTCTGAGCTACACGCCCCCGATGTGCATGCTATTACTTACAAACCAATTCAAGGCAGCCGAGGCATCCATGACGCTGTAGGAACGGTGTTGAAATCCTACCATCCCATGCGGTGCGGACCATGCGGCATTCGAAGTCAATATGCATATTCATGCTAAATTTTCTAAGAAGTCAACTTTTTTGCGCGAGAGTATAGTCAGGCCATCGGAAATTTAAGCAGATTTCCGACGTGATAAAACAAAACCAAGCTATGAATGTGAGGCGGCTGGCGTGCTACCACAAAGTAATCCTTCTTCATGAGATGATTACAACGGGGCAGCCATCAGCACTGGCAGCTATGCTCAACACAAACGTTGACAGGACAGGCTGCTGTCGACTACAACCTCCTGCCACACTACGTGAGGGTTGCCAACCACTCGTGTTTTGCTGGCACGGTTAGCCAGGGTTTTTACATGCCATGGGGACATGAAGATGCGTTTTTAATGGATGTGAGATGTATATGCTTTTCGTTGAATGAATGAACCTTCCTGTACCTTGGAATGTTTTAAGACAATACGACAGGCATGTATTTTATCCTTTGATGAAATACAAGGTACATTGGAATGTGCTGCAACGTGAATACATACCCCATTGTCGAGCTGCTTATATCTGGTGACTTGAGCACGGATTTCACACACAATGACAGTCCACTGACTCTTAGATATGTTGTGCAAGCTATGCAAGATTCCTATGGCAATGGCAGCGATTGCGTTAAGGGTCAGATCACGTCAGAAAACAGGTCCGACCCTGTCGAGCATTGCGACACGTTAAGCTCTCGCCACCAAAATCTGCCGTTAGCCAGACATTGCGCGATCAGATGGTAGGGATCACGGCATACACACAAGCACTGCTTCGCGTGAGATTTGTTCCCAGAAATTACATAAGCAACTAAAACTGACTGTTCCGCTCAAAAGTATACAAATAGATGTAAGTGAGTTTATTCCACCACTTGCTTACTTCATATCTTCAAATGTTGAGCGTTTCCTTTACGAGAACATTTCAGAACAGACACGGAGAGTGCAGAGAACTCCATGCCTTATTCCTTGTCAGTAACATCGGGTCTGACGCAACTGCGATCTATTCCCCACACCTCGGAAATTTTGACTGACTTGGTTGGCTGTTTCCGACTGACGTAGGCACATAGGTGGCAGAAAGCCGGGTACCAACCAACCCGGTAGCTGTTGCGCCATGCGAAGTAGCTTTCATACGCGGTGCGGTTCTCCATGAGAGATGTGAGATAGGTTGCCAGCAGCTGCACGCTGGCAAAATCCTGCACGTGAATGAAGGAGTTGGGTGGGGCCACGCGACGGTAGGACTCGGGCGACGCTCCACGCACCACCGGCACTATACCCGCCCGCAGAGCGTGCCAGAACTTTTCTGTAATGTAGTCTTCGCACAGGCTGTTCTCAAATGACAGGTAGAAGAAGTGCGACGCAGCAAGAGTTCGGTAGCAGGCCTCCGCGTTCCTTCCACCGCCTTGGTCGCTGGGGCACTTAAGCGTTCCGCATCTGCCGTAGATGTCCACGACAAGATGCCGTGCGAGCTTCTGGACGTATTCCTCCCTCTTGGAGTGGGTGCTGCAGTGCGACACCACCCAGGCAGCTGCGCGGACTCTGTCGGTACACGAACATTGATTGCTGGACGTTTGTGTATGGACTACAGACTAAACAAAGTTCAGGAGACATTGCGAACTGAAATGAAATGGTGGCATGCTTCGAATTGCAGAAGCTTGCTACGGAATCAGCTGGCTCGCACAAGTCTTGCACTGAAGAAGGAGCCAGTCGCCAGTGTTTTTGTACTTCTTTGCTATTCTTCGAAAATTCATTGGAAGTTCCTCCCCCTCTCTCTCTCTCACTCTCTCTCTCTCCTAGCTTTATAGCTCAGCTCAGTTTAACACACACACACACATACACACACAGATATATATATATATATATATATATATATATATATATATATATATATACTTGTATAACTGTGATTGCGTAAATGTGTCATTGTGTAAATGTGATTGTAAGCACACACATCACACGGTTCATCAAATGTGTCATGAAAAATTACACTCTTCAAGAAAATGACCTTTTGTGAGCCTCTCGATGCAACATTGTGACCACAGTAGCAAATGTTATGGGTAGTTTAGGTGATGCAATAGAATTCGAGACGAGGGTCGATGCACGATGCAACACAACGATAGACACTTCGGTCACCTTTTCATTAAAGTGGCGTCTATTACTTGTTACTTTTGGGATATCTGCTAAAATACAAAAAGGCAATACATATATATATATATATATATATATATATGTATATACACAAACACACGACACACAAACACACGACATAGTATGGCACAGCATAGCTTTCGCCTTTGTTGAAAGAACACAGGGGATCAGTGCACAAAAGATGCCATAAGCGTCTGTCATTCCATGACCATGGATGCACCGCACAATAGCGCAAAACTTGCTAATGCGGTACGCAGCATCACAACAGTGTTGTGATGCACACATATCACGATCTCAATGTACTGTGCTTGACAAAATGGCAACATGATTACAGAATTACAGTACGACTGGCCGAAGGTATCACAAAAAATTAAGAAGGTATCACGAGAAACAGACAGGACAAGGAGTTGGTTGGATAGATTACCTCTTGGAGAACTCTGGCAGCTCCCCTGTTTGTTTCCCAGCCACTGTTGTGCCGTATGGAGAGAAGACATCCGCGTGACGGTGATAAGTCATTGTTATGTTGAAGAAGTAGTCCAGCGAATTTAAAAGGTTCACCTTTCGCATTGGGGATTCCATCATATAGAAAACAAATTGCTGATCTTGCCGTCTGTGTTCAGGAAGATCTGTCGCGTTCATGTAAAATCCATTGAACAGGACAGCACGAGCTTGACGAAGCAAGGATCTGTTTGCGGTCGTAAGGCAGTTCTTCACCGGGCAGCCACTGAAAGGCTTCTGGCCTAATCCATTATAGAAGACAGGTCTGTCCTGATAATGTGTCCAATAGAGGAGTATGTTGACCCCAGTGTGGTTAGACGAAATAGGCTTCCGTAACGGATGGCTGACCATGGATGTCTCCATTTCGGTATCATTTCGAACCAGCCTGGTGCCGAGCGCAAAGAGCGGCTCATGGCTGAACACTTGTTTCCAGGGGTTTCCAACGAATGTATATGTAGTCAGAAAGAGCGCAATAGTACAGAAAATGAGTTTTTTGTTTGAACATAACTTTTCCATTGACTTCCGCGATCCTCCAAATGTGCATCTGAAAAGTGACGCAATGTCAGTCAAAACAACGCATCACAACGTTGAACCTCGTTGCCCAACACGCATTGGCAAGTTTTGTCATCGGCTCCATTCTGAGCTGCTTACGGTGCCAGACGAATGTCTGGCACACTAGCTTAAACTCAATGGCTCATGCTGTCGAGCGAGGGGCAAAAGATGGAGGCTATTTGGCAGTGGACTCCGTCATGCCCACTTAAAATCAGGGCATATTTTTCTTTCCACCCAGTACTTGGGATAAGGCTGGTGACGAGCGGGGGAAGTGAGACAAGTTGTGGTTGTTTCCATGGCGTTTGGTGTTTCCTAGTTTCAGCCTACACGTGTTGACGGTAGTATGCATTGGACATATGGGCAACTCTGGAGCACATGCGTATGGCGTGATCAGAGATGATTTAAAGAATTAACCTTCCCGAACTGTACAATAGGCGAACGTTCAAAATGTCCGCAGTTTATCATGTCCACTATCCTTGTGATTTGAGGCCATTATAAGCTCTGAGCAACATCAACTATGGATAACATGAACTATGGATGACATGAATTGTGGGCATTATGCACTGTGGACACGCTAAACATTATGGACTGTACCATATGAAAACCACAAATGAACAAATTCACACTGCAGAATCCGGCGTGCACAATCAGCAACAAGAACAGCGGCGAAGGATATAAAGTAGTAAGGAACAACGCAAATCTTGACCATTACATGCGACGTGTACATGGGGCGGTTTGTGTTGGATGTGGTTCGATATGGCTAGAACCCAACCAGAAGGGTAGATGCTTGAGGCATCAATATGTTGATTACAAGGTCATAACAACGAATGCACAAAAAGCAATTCGGTAGTCAAATGAGAATGAGGCGATTTGGAATGTGTTTCGGCACAGTGACACGATAATCAGTTCATGCAGTGACTTTTCACTATTAACACTGCCCTAAGGAATTAAGCATGGCATGGATATTTTTATCATTTCTGATGGCACAATGCCGTAGATCTGAGCAGCATTCATGAATTGATCATTCAGATCCACCTATTGTCAAAAAGTGTAGTTTTGGCACAGGTATCGATACCTTAGATCCTGAGATATGCATAGTTTTGCTCCAATCCACCACCCCGGACCTCAAGGTGGATCCGCGTTAATATTCCTAGCTGACACCATTCACTGTTTCCCTCCCAAATGCTGTTAATCAAACTTAGAGCAGACCGCAACACACTATAATGCAAGAAAGGGGTATATCAGGCGCAGCACTCAACTTATACAGCTCGAGACCTTCATCATGCGCCGGTCGGGCACGGGAACGCTTTCAGTGGTCTACCCTGGTAGATCAACCTAGCTATCGCACGTAATGTTACCATGTAAATATAAATGTAAATGTAATTACGTAATGTCACGAAACCGTGACCAGAATGGAGCTACAACCCTAACCGCAATAAACCCGCAAACCGGAACCCTCGATGCGAAATGCTTACCCTCTACATCCATCTGCACATATTTTAACTCTGTCTTTTTCATTCACACATCTACCGAAAAGAGGTAGCCTGGACATATGATTTTTGGGGTAAAATTAGATCAGCAGCCTCGACCAAGGTACAGACACTGCATGACAGTACATGTACATGCAGTACATGACACTACATGCAACAGCATGTTTCAATCTCGCGAAACAAGGCGCGCTTGTCTGAGTGCGGTTACGGCGGATCATAACGGGTCAGCGTGTTGTCCCAGGGAACAACGTCACAAATATCTTAAAATCCGAACATTTGCATGATATCAAAGCCTGTGTTTTGCGTTTTCAGCTCTCGGTGTTGACGGTGGATGCGTGGGTGGATGCGGAGATGACGGTGGAGGCGAAAGCTTCAGTGCCGGAGGAGGCGGTGGCTGCAGGTTGGGGAAATACGAATCCGGAATACCTCTGCGCTCCAGTGGCCAGTGCTGCCGCCATGGTCAGACGGTTCCTACCGCTGGAAAAATGAGGGAAGCCGCTGATGTTTTACAGTGTGCTGGAGCACGTTAGATCCAGCTTAAACAAGTCGGCAGGGGAATTACTTTTGACGTGCTCGATACAGCAGACTCACAATGACCTTGTGTTCCAATAACAATTTGCTGGAGGATGTTTATTTTTACTGTACACCGTTTGGTCGCATGAAGAAGCAAACGATGTATTTCTTGAATAATTACTAAAGCTGTCTTGGCAAAGTTGGTAATACACCGGTCAGCTTGTTTGCTTTTGTAGCATTTCGCCCTTGATCTACGAGGTTGTCTACCGAAGTTAACCACGAGTTGATAGTCCCTTTCTGTACTCTAGAAAATATATACTCTAGAAAATATTCTAGGAAAATATAAACGCTTGGCGGGTCGAAAGTGTTGATCAATCGGCTTAGTAATAGCTTTCAGAGGACCGCAAATTTTTTACCACACACTTGCAGCTATGTTCAAAATGTGCTACGACATATGACAACACATAGTAGCAGAGCCGCAGCCAGAGCTTTGACAAGGGGGACACAGGGTTGCTAAAGAGGCCCCCTGAAAGTAAAAGGGCATCCCCAAAAATCACCTGATATGGCTTATTTATTGATGGGGGGCACGTTTTCACGTATATGACTATATGTATATATTTATATGTACATATGTTCTGTCCTAAACATGTATTCAATAAACTGAAAAATATCATGCCTTAAATGACTGCATGAAATAAATCGCCGGCGCTCTTTACTTTGAAATGGTCCAATGAACTCTTTTTAAGACGCTGGGACCCAGAAACTTCGTCAGAATTTTCATCTGGGCTGTACAGAGACAGCAAGAATCCCGCGAATGTGGGTTGAAGAGCAAAATGGGTCAACAATTTGCATTAACATGGCCAAGCATGTTTGTCTGGATATTTTCAACATTCAGGCAGAATCGATTCGTGGAACTAATTATGTAACGTATCCTTGACCATGCGAGATCGCATGTCTCAGCAACGAAAACCTCGACGCTAGGCGTCGCAGTCTCCATAGGTAGTGCAGCGTCGATCTGGTGGTTAATATAAGGCTGCGGCCAACAAGTGCTGGAAAATGATGATGCATTTGAAATAAGTACCGTTGAACGCTTTCAGGCATCAAATCGTACGCGCGCGCGGCGCCCGCCCCCTGGCGTTACTTGCAGTGGCCAACGCCGTTTTGGCTGGCGAGGCGCTTCACGTGCCGTGGCCGTCTGTGCCGAGGGCCCGACTCGGCTCACTGCCCCTGCCACATAACTGTGCTCCCCCCCCCCCCCCCCCCACCCGCTCATGGTGCCCGCGCCGCCGGGAGGTGCCGCTAGCCGATTACCGTCAAACACATGCATAAACCAGGTTGTGGCCTTCCCGCACCATAACTTTCGGCGGTAATTCATGCCGGTAAAAGTGCATAGTTTGGCATCGCGGCTGTTTTGGCGCATTGTTGCGATGAACCGTGGCGTTGACTGTCACGCTCAAGATTTGGGGGTACCTCTTATGCGACAAGCAACAACCAATGGAATGACAGCAATGGAAAATCCAACAAGTGTAATTCATAGATGGTCACAATAATGAGCAATTACGTGCCCGGGAAAGCCGGGTACGTAATGTTCATTTACGTTCGCATCGCGGTCATCCGGTCAGCAATGTTCGTCTTAATTAAAAACACTGGCATTGCGGGGCGGCCAGATGTCATGTATATCATGCATCTCAATTCACCTGGTTGGCTCTCTTTACGTACACCACGACAGCCATTGCAGAATTGACGGACATCAATTACGTGTGTTCATAACGCGGAGTTTTTGTCTGTGGGAATCACCTAACAACGTGCCGTTTGGCAGATCTGAAGCCCGAAATGTTCCAGATTGGTACGTTTTCTGGCGATACTTTATGGTATGTAACGGCAAATTTGAACATGTACTTCAGACGTTATGACAGTGACGCACGCGTAAAACACGTTATTATAAATGTTATGACCATGCGCTCGGTGTTGGGCTCCCGCCGAGCTACGAAAGCAATCGACAAAGGTAGAATAGATGACTGCATTTTTTTCATTTCAACCGCTGATAAATGATGCAGACCATCGACAACGGACAAGTACAATGCACTCACAACTCCGATAAAATTGTGATGCACTTTTTCTGAACGTTGTCTTGTCACACTGCGCATGCCTCTTAAACATGCGCGTCGTTTTTTTCCCATTTCGGAATCCCAATTCAATCGCGACGCCAGCGGCACATCACAACACTGACACAAGACAACGTACACGTGTACAAATTTCCTGACCCGACGCCCACTATCGCACCCCACATTACGTATTTTCCCATGCTGATTGCTCTTTGTTCAGGCTTTTCATTTTAAAATTCGATGCACACTGACTTTTGGTACTTCCGGTTGTGTGTTTAAAAGGCTGCCACTGGGCGTTCAAGAAAGGGAAATTCCCTCCTTATTCTTTTTTGTCTCCAGTTTGTCACACAATCTAAATCGTCTCCTGACCCCCCCCCCCCCCCAACGCGATGCATTGAGTTGTGTCGAGAACGTGCTTCGATAAGCCCGAATGGGTTTTATCCGCGTTTCTCATCGCCCACTGTTGTTTACGCTTTCTGGTCTGTAAGCTTCTACACATTCCCCCAAATTTCCCCTCCCCACATCAACATTTCTCCATTCACATGTGTGTCGGTAAATTATTTCTGTCTTTTCATCCTTTTTTAACTTGTCTTTGGGCCACACTGGGTAAGTTTTAAGACCAAAAGACGGGAATAATGCATCGATGCATATGTGCGTGCGGAAAGGTTTATGTGGGGGAGACTTCTAGAACTTTAAAGACCGGCAGTGGTCAACACCAGTGAGTGTTGAGAAACGATGGTATAAACCATTATCGGCATATCGAAGCTTGTTCCGGGCACAGGTCATTGCATCGCGTAGGGAGGGGGGAAAATTCTACATTAGGAGGGAAACTGGAGAAAAAGGAAGAGTACAGAGGGTATTTCCATTTCTAGACAGACAGCTGGATATCAAATCGGGGTACCAATAACGCATGTGTATCAAATTTTAAAATGAAAAGACTGAAGGACAGTCGGCTTGGGGCAATGTGTTTTAGCGTCGTTATATGCTGTACGCGCCGCTATTGAATCGGCTCCGAAAATGGGAAAAAAGCTATGCACGTGTTTAAGAGGTATGCGCTGCATCAAATAGTTGTTATGGGACAAGGCAACATTAAAAAAGTGCACTGTAATCGCATCGAAGTTGTGAGTGCATTGCACGTGCTTTTCTTGAACGATTCGCATTATTTATCTGCGGTTGAAATGTCGCAGATATCTAATACGGCCAGCCATCTCTTATACTTTTGTTGTCTCAGGAGGATCAGTATGTTAGATTACACACGACTTTTAGCTTTTTTTTAATGCGTGTCTGAATCTCTTTTTGTGAATAGCATTGCCTGACCAAGGCTGATAGGGAAAGGGATCGAGATCATCCCCAAAGTTTTCGTTGAGTATAAGCAAGCTGGTTGGAATACAAATTTTACATTTACGATGTCCCTGTTCAGTAACATTATCAAACATATCAGAACGTGAAGTGTGTGCTAAAAAAGCTTTTTCAAGACAAAACCCAGCACGCAAATGCAAATTAGGCGGCGTCCACGTTATCCAAAAGCCGCTGACCTCATAGCTCACGTGCAGCACAGGTGGAGGTGACCGGCGTCAGAACCAGGGCGAATGCGAGCAATGGACTGAACCAAGGCTTCGGTATCACCAAGCAGTGATCCGCTGTTGTAGCTACGGCGCATGCGCGGCATGGCGACGTGAACGCTACAGGCCGGGCATAGTTTACGGTGCGGCGTAAAAACTGCTCAGATAGCAAGTCTGGTCGCCGCCGATTCGGAAGGAAAAGGGCCATTGGTACGGAGCTACATGCAACAGAAGTGCATCTTGGAAATCTAACGGGAGAAAACGACGTTGCAATAACATCAATTCTTTCCAATAGGTCCGATGGGAAGCGCAGGTGCGTGGGAACAATGATCGCGCGGGGGGGGGGGGGGGCTTGCCTCGATGTTCTGAAAATTGCACGTCAGTCTATGAACGTTGACTGCCGGAAAACAGCCTAAACATAGCTGGTGATTGAAGCAGAGACAAGGGCAATAGCGGAAGAGAGAGACGGTTTATACTTGGTGCGAGTTTAGTTGTTTTGCGCCTGCGCGCTGTCGGCCGCTGTCCTGTGCGCTGCCTTCCGCTGTCCTGTGCGCTGACGGCCGCTGTCCTGTGCGATGTCGGCCGCTGTCTTGTGCGCTGTCGGCCGTTGTCGTGTGCGTTGTCGGCCGCTGTCCTGTGTGGTGTCGGCCGCTGTCCTGTGCGCTGTCGGCCGCTGTCCTGTGCAGTGTCGGCTGCTTTCCCGTGCGCTGTCGGCCGCTGTCCTGTGCGCTGTCGGCCGCTGTCCTGTGCGCTGATGGCCGTTGTCCTGTGCGCTGTCGGCCGCTGTCCTTTTGCTGACGGGCGCTGTCCTGTGCGGTTGCTGCGATTGATGCTGCTTGTCAACTGGCGTAATCGAATGGCATAAGAGTAACGTCATAACCGAGCATGTGAATGCAAGAAAACATATTAAACTCGCAGGTAATGGTGCAAGAACACCTCGAGAAAGGGCCAAGACACGAGCAGGAAATTATTTTTGGTTCAGCAAACACTTTCCGCCCGTACTGCCTTCTGCAATCACGAGTATGGCGTAATACAGGTAAATGGCAATTTTGCTCAGCTAGTTTGGCAGTACCTCAACGTCATATAAACGTTCCATGACGCAATCAAGCAATGACGTCTTGAGGACCATGTTTACTAAATAAAAAAATTGTGTCGTCTAGAACATTTTTCACTTCAAATCACAGCATTGACTACAGGTATTTCGTCCTATGTGATGCGTAGGTGAGCAAGAAGCAACAACCTTGTTCCTCGGAGAAAAAAAACAGGAGAATTGAGATATAGATGGGTTGATATTTCCGCAACATATCTTTATCGAAACAATAGCAGAAGTGCTATTGTCTTGTTAAAGGTATGTTGCCGAAATACCAACCCATCTATACCTTTATTCTTCTCTTTTTTCCGAGGAAAAGGTTATTACCACTCTATTATTTGTGTGAATAATGTTCCTCGCAACCGCACTTAACAACTTCCGTAATATCTTCGATATTTTCAATGTCTTCACATGAGGAACATTTCCTTTAAATAACTATCCAACATTTTGGTCAGTCCGTGATCATCCTCAGGTGTCATTATTTCAGTTGAGTGCTTTTCCCACCCGAACACCATGGAGGGCCTTGGTCGGAACATTGTAAAGCACCAAGCCTCCTACCTGCTTTACACGCCAATCGGTAGCGATGCCGGCCAACAGACACGCAACAAAACAGTCAGGCGAGCATTTCGTAGTCAGTTATGCGGATGGCGACCGCGTCGACAGGCAACGGTCAGGTCAGGGCGGAGGCCGTTAACGACGGGCGGGGCAGGGCTCGCCCCGGGAATATCCGAACGAAACACCTTTGTTCTGTGGCTTTGCAGTCTTGCAGGAAAAATATCGTTTTTGCTATTTCACGTTATTCTGGCGGCCTTTTTGAAGCTCTTTGTCCTGGAGCGTCTCGCCATCCCGTTTTAGTTTGACATTAATGACATGGATTGCGAGTCAAAAGTTCTAAGATAGCTCTCACGTGTTTCCCTGGCATTTGTGGCTGTTAACATCAGGTCGCGTACATATTAATGCATGACATAACTTTGGTGAGGAGGGGCTCGAGGGCTTCTATATACGCACGCCTCTGCTTTCTTCTGAAAGTCGGGGCTGGAGTACTTTCCCCAACTTCATGGGAAATTTCAGCCCTTGGTTGAGCGGCATTTGCGACCACATTATCGTAGCTGTAAATGGTGGGGTATTTCACCCAAGGAAGAATGCAAGACACCATCTTGGTGGCCAACGCCGGATTATGAATAAAAGGTCAAATATAGGATATTTCATTTCATAATGCTTCAAATGTTTCGTAGGTCACGGATTTCGCTTCCTTTTATGCGAGTTCTCCAAAATGAAAGACGCGGGAACCAGTAGGGGCAGGAGGCAGTGCAGACAGCTTGCCCCCTGCCCCAATTTGAGGGGAGTGTGGAAGGCCTATTCCGGTACATTAAGGGCCTGTTCTGAACTGTAAAGGGATTGTGATACAAAGGGAAATGCAGAATTCAAAACAGCAGCATATCAGTCTACTCATCATGACCTTTAAAAGATCAAACAAGGTCAGTGACCTCAACTGAGCGTATGACATTTTGCTTAGAATAGTTGCCTGGGTTCTAGGGGCCCTTTGGAGACCAATCTGGAATTTGAAATTGCTTGACCTTATCTGACCTGAAGTTCATGACCCAGAAACTTCAAACTATGACCTAAGTGAGTTCACGTGCAGGTCAACACACCCTGGGAATGTGGTGTCTCTAGCTCTCTGAGTTCCCGATATATTAGGCGGGGGGGGGGAGCAAATTGACCCACCCCGCCCGAGCAAAGGGTATCCAACCGGCCACCCGGGCTCATGTTAAGAGGTCAGATAAGGTCACTAACCTTAACTGAGAGTGTGACATTTTTCTTAGAACAGATGCATAGGTTCTAGGGGCCCTCTAAAGACCAAGCTGGAATTTTACCTTATTTGACCTTATTTGACCCGAAGGTCATGACCTAGAAGCCTCAAACCTTTGTCTAAGAGAGTTAACGTAAAGATCAACACATTCTGCGAATTTGGTGTATCTAGCTCTCTTAATTCCCGAGATCTGGGGGGTCAAATTGACCCCCCCCCACCCGAGCGAAGGGTATCCAACCGGCGACCCGGTGCGCGTGTTAACACCCACTCGGGTGGGGGTCAATCGACGCGGCACGGCGTAGCCGCGCCAAATATTCCATAGCTGTAGAAAATTGCATAGCGAATCGTTTGCCACACACACTTTAGATGTACCTTGTAAGGTCGCTGACCTATGACAGGTCAAAGTTAGCCCACGGTTTCAGCGAGGGCAATTTCTATGGAATTGTTCAATCTCATCCAACAAGGAAGTGTTAGACGAAGTCATGCATCTCTGAGATACTTTCTTAGGCAATACAACAGTTGAATTGAGAAATTGCATTGACCTGGGGTCAGGTATAAAGGTCAGGCCAAGGTCAAAACCAAACTGCTTTATACCTCTAGGGCTTGCTGTATGGGATAGTTTCCGGTGCTCATTTCGAATATATTGATAACAGCAACCACATTATACATCTTCCAAGGACCTCTTTAAGGTTAGAGTAGGTCGCTGACCTAAAATGACCTAAGCCAACACTTTTTTAGGAATATATTGCCTAGCGTAGTTTTCGTCGCTTATTCAAAAGCAAAACTCAAAAGCAGTATTGTATTATGTTGGTCACAATGACCTTTGAAAGGTCAATCAAGGTCACTAATCCCAAGTGAATATGTGAACTTGTGCTTAGAGCAGTCATCTAGATTATGGGGCCCCTTTAAAGACTGATATGGAATTCGACCTTGTTTGATCTTATTTGACCCGAAAGTCATGACCTTGGAGCCCCAATCTTTGACCTAAGTGAGTTCACGTGCACGTCAATACACTCTGTGAACGTCTAGCTCTCTTAGTTCCTGACATCTCATGGGTGTCAAATTGGCCCCCACCCGAGCGAAGGGTATCCAACCGGCATCCAGGGCGCGCCTTAACCGTGGCATGCTGATCCTGCCACACACCTCCAGCTGTCAGCCAGCCATTTTGCATGACGGCCATCACAGGGACACGACCACGCGACAGGCAGTGCCATTAAAAAACGACGCCGTTTCCCGGAGAAAGAAAATCGTCAGCGGTAATTGGACGCGACCTGCGTCGGTGCTCACCCTCTCACTCGTCTCAGGGAACCCAGTGCTCATCCCATTGCAGCGGCGTACGTGACTGGAAGCAGCGATAACCAGGTCACAGCTTCTAACATGTCAAACCGACGGCGAGAAGTAGCGCCATGCCCGCCTCAGACGATAACGCGCATCAAAACATTGACGTTGACTGAAACATTGCATATTCACGACCCAGCGCGCAAAAACCGCAGAGGTAACCCGGTGATGCTCATAACTGGACAGCTGTCCTTCCCTAAACCGCTGAGCTGCCTGCACGTCGGCGTCCGCCGACGCCAGCGCGCGTCGTTCTCTAAGGCCGCCGACGTCAACGCCCGTCGCCCTGCGAAGGCCGCCGACGTCAACGCCCGTCGCTCTCCGCCAGCATCTTGTGCAAATCTCCCCTCATCAGATTTATGGCGTGTATTAATGTGTATGTTACAAAATTCTGAAAGCTGAAGACTGCATTTGGGTGCGCAAAAACGAGAATATCGAGAACGTGTGGCATTGTTTCAAGCTACGGAAGAAACTGCGGGCGGACTTAACGTGGCTTTCAGTGAAAATGGTTGCGTTGTGTACGAAAGGTGAGTTGTGCTGTGTCCTCTGGCGGAATTTCAGGCACGTCTCTGCACAAGCGTCGCATATTTCGCGGCCGCGGCGTGGGTGTTGTCCTGCGGTGTTGATCGCGGGACGGGCCGCGGCTGGTGTTTTCCCGAGCGGCGCGGTACGGCAGATGTCAACCAGCGGCTTGGAACGCCAGCCGGGCGACCGGGGATGTCAGCCAGGCGGCCGAGGATGTCAGCCAGGCGGCCGGGGATGGCAGTCAGGCGGCCGGGCATGTCAGCCAGGCAGCTGG